CAAATAAGAGAAAAATCAGCGAACGCACTTGAAGATTTTGTATTTCGCTATTCAAATCAGGTGCTGAATAATGTTCAGAAAATCACTGCTGCATATAAAAATCACATAATATCATGCAGCTAAATTAGTCAATCAAAAAATAGCTAATTTGTGGTTAATTACCTTCCCCTACTAAAGTTGTGTCACCGAAATCAGGAAACTAAGTGGCTTAATTAAAGCCATTTAAATGATCATTGGTTTTCGTGTAGCATTTATCACAGAAAGTTTACACATTCAAATTCCGTTGAGTTTGTTTATTTAGAGCATTTTCTCATCATTAAAATGAGAGAATATTGTCCTCGAGAATAAAATCGGAGATATGTCTAAGCTAGATGATATATATATATACTTTGTCTTGAGGCCATTTAAATGAAAGTATGGAGTATGTAGTTGAAAAACTCCCAAGTTAATCAGCTTATCCAAGTAAAGTGAAAGTCTGTAACGGTAATTAGCCAGCTCAGTTCGTCTTCTAAATTTGGTTATTTAAGATAGAAGAAAAGAGATTTGTTCATAAGAAACTATTTACTTATTATGATTATGCATTAAATCAACTTCTATTAACCCTATTATAGTTGGTTTTTACTCTTATTTGTCACTCAAATGATCAAGAGAGTGTTATGAAAAATGAGATAAGGTTAGAGGAACTTAATACTTATAAGCAAGGAAAGGAAACAAACAAAGTATTCGTAAAATGAACACGAATAATTGAAAAAAAATCCATTCGTTATAGTCATTTTCAGTACATATAATAAGCTATCAGACAGGAATAAACTTTATTCAACTCGAATTGTGTATAACACTGTTGATTTGTGGTTAAAATATTACTAAGATGATGCCCATTGTGAAAAACCTTCACGACTTTACTGTTTTATTCCTTGCTAATTCCGAAATAATCTGTCTGTCCTGGCAAAACGATTATTTTATGATCAGCGTCCACCATGATGAATTATACGTCCATTGCGTCACATTACTTCTAAACGTATATAAGTAGTTCTTGAATATATATATATATACTGATCATGACGTTGTAGTGACTCACATTTATCACGAGAACACGACTGGTTTAATAAAAACAATTATTATTATAACCAACTGTACCAGTGTTTGTTTTAACGTGCTTTTGTTTGACTGTGCTAATGACAGCTATTTTGTGCTTCCATTCTTTTACTTACACTTTGATTGTAACTTCGCGCGGATTCGGTTACGTTCTGTAACCAAGGTTGTATCCTGGCACGATCTCGGTATCCTTTCTATGCCACGAGATCGCCAGCAAATAAACATCGACTTGGTCCATTAACTGTCTTCTGATATTTGGCTTCTCGGAGATTTTATGGGTTTCTTTGGTTACGTTCAACCCTCGCCTTCTGATTTATTTGGCACGTGTTTCTTGGTAGCGGTGTTCATAGTTAATCTCAACTCGACGCCACGCTACAACGTCAAGGCCTTTACTTTTATCAGTGAAATTGAGCTAAAACATGCTACTATCAATAGGCCTTTAAATTACAAACAGTTGGATATGTCAGCTTTACAAATCAATCTGAAGCAGGTGAACCGTAAAGTCAACCCTCAACTTGATGTGGATGCTCATTGAGATTTCTTACTGCACACGATCTTAAGCACCACAAGACAGTCTGTCTCTCACTCAGTCCCAAAATATTGCAAGTGATGTACGGTCATCAAGAATTTCACTCTTTGACTGCCCTGAAGTATAGAACACTATCATGAGGAATATAAACGAACTGGTGACATCAAGAATTTCATGATTGAAACAGTGTGTTTGCAAATGAATGATTTTTTGTCAGTTAAATAATAATACTGCTTTCTTTGATATATCATCATATCAGAGATGAAACACTATCACACACTTGAAATGTCTTAACACTGATTTTTAATGCTATGGGTATATTTTTATTGTGTATAGTTAAAAGTTGGACATACGTACGCTCAAGAACTACTAATCGTGCCGTTACGTAACACCTATAGTAAACATCCCATCACTGTTTTAATAGATTTCCTAGTTGATGAACGTAATAATATTGAATGAAACTTAATTCAAATACTGATTTAATTAAGAAATAATGTAATCTTATCCAAAAATCATCTGAATATTATATACAAGCTGACTGAAAACATAATATCGTTCCCTCAAACATTTATAGAAAACTGACTGCGATGATGAGTGGATTAGTCGTATAAAAAGGTTCATCAGTCTGTAACTGATAACCTTACTGAATCTGATGGTAATTAATGATATTTCATATCTAATTTCACATACGATACTTCGGCTAACCATACTCTTTAATTGTGATATTTAAGGGTTGAATACGAAATGGGCCTAGAAACTCACATTTCATGCTTTCATGGAACAGCGAACAACCACATAAACGTATGAAAATGGCTTGTATCAAATATTTTATCTAGTTTTGTGTCAGCTTATCTGATTCAAAAAGACAAGGACCAATGGTAATACATAAGCACATATATACTAGAAATGTATATAGATGAAGTGTCACGATTAATAATTGATTATTACATGCAATACAGCAGCTAAGATTAAATGGTGTATCACATAATTCTTCCGATTCGTATCATTTTACACAAGGGTTTATATTAAATCATGATATGACTGAAATATAACAGTTTATGTTTCAAGTATATATTACACTTCTCCACAGTTATTTTACATGAATTAAATATATATTATAGTTAAATAGCTTTACTTATTAGAATAAGGCAAAGCAAATGGGATTAAGTAATATAATATACAATCATAAATTAGTTCCTTTTACTTTAACATTGTTTTTTTGTTGTAAATGATAGTAGAAGTTGAAATTATCAACTCATTTTACTTATAAGTCAAATATACTAACATTACTGAAATTAAAATTTGTTCATGTATAGAAGTGTCTTATTATCAGTTTATCATAGTTATATGTTATCATTATTTTTATTGTAAGACAATAAGTATTATCGTGGATTGTGGAAATGAGACAATGTAACTGATAGATGTAATCAGTGTAGATGAAACAAACTTTTAGACCTAAATTTTATAATTTTACGTTAGTTTGAAAGGAATCAGATCTGATTTTTTCCATTTAATGTGAAAACTCCCACTCAGACACTAAGCAAAAACGTGAATAGATCGAAATATTTAATTTAAGTTAGTTTTCAACAACATGAATACACAAATATATATGTGTACATGTTTATTAATAAGAATATTAAAGGATACTAGTCAGGTGCTGATGCGTCAGATAGTAATATAAATTCAAGTGTATCAAAAGTCTTGCTTTAATTAACTTGACGTCCTGTGCCAACGAAACGAGAGAGGACGGAACCCCTTGTTAACTTTAGTTTTTCTCTTGACCGGGCTGGTCTGTTCCAAATTCACGTTTTTAAATTTTCGTTTACTTAGGTGTTCTTAGTACAGGAGTCCTCAACAGTGTGTATAGATGATGCCCTAACCAGAGATCGAAACCAGGATTCAGTCCCACGCGCGAAATCTTAACTCTTACACTAATTATTTCTATAAGTTTTCACAAATTTTTTCAGATACACTTGTATTTGTATTACTATCTGACACATCACCACCTGACTAATATCTTTTACTATTATTATTAAACATTTACACACATATTTGTGTTGTCGAGATGAAAAATTATTTGAAATTTGGTATTTCTATCTGTTCGCACTTTTTTCGTTTACTTGATCTGTTTGTAACCAAACTTTTCTGGCAATAACTTGAATGTCAGAGTGTTGAGCAGAAAATGATTCATATTTACAATTTAATAAATGAACATAAGTGGACAATTGTTGAACGCACAATCGTTTCTTCGTGAATCCGATTTATATTTGTTACTTTTGATCATTTCTTCGAGGAAGCTCGGACCAGACTGACAAACAAAGGTCCGAGTTATTTTTAATTTCAGTAACTGTAAATTTTACAAGCATAATTTTTTCAATGTATTCATTCGTTTACATTTGAACAAAAATTTATATACAATCTTGCAAACTTTCCTAAATAAATTTTCCGGTACAAAAAGATTGGAAAAATGAATACATGAAAGCAAATACCACTTTTAGAATATATTAGATATCACTGGTGTCTTGTGTTGCGAAGTCCAGTATATGAACTTTCTACTTGAGTACCACATCAGAAAATACTTATCATATTAGCATGATATAATTTCAGGACTGACTCAGTAAACAACAAAACACTCGTCGCCAGCTTATTAAAACCCTCTGGGTCTGCCTGTGTCGGGCATGAATTAAGCCTGGCAACTGGTTCTTAATTTAATCAGTACTTGAATCCTCTACGGAATTCATTTCTAATCACTAGTGTATCAATCTACTTCTAAACACATGCACTGGTAGTTTGTTTTGTATGTGAATAAGTTACTTTACAGGGCAAATATTTAACCTGTGGGATGGCTGCCTCTCAATATTAGTTTGTTAAGGGCTTATTCAATCCAACCACGTGACCATCTATGTCGTACCCTTGGATTTTAATTGTCCATCAGTATTACATCTATTCTTTTAACGATCTCTAAACATCTTTCCAAATCTGAAATTCATCCATCATAACAACTGCCTCCAAAATCTACTTCTTCCAGGTGAATAGCTGCTAAACTTGTTCATACTCATTTTCTTGTGACTTTTTACATTTAATCGGATCTTCTCCTTTTTAAAATGCTTCCAGCCTTTATATTAACAAATTACCACTTCTATATCGGATGATAGTTCATGAGTTGAACCTAATATAGTAATACGATGTTGATGCAACCAAACATAAATATTTCAGTCAAATTGAATACTGTAGTCTATTAGTATTACCATTACTATTATTATTATTGACAATAAGATCCAGTTACCATGCAAGTGACGTATCTAAGATGATAAAACATCGAGGCTGTAACATGAAAGCTAGTTAAAATAAAATCGCGATTTGTTTTTTTTTCTATGATTTAATAATTATTCTCAAATAATATGAAAGATTGATTTAAAATATATAGTGCGATAAACGTCGAATTCTGAGTAAAAAGACACAGATATGAACGAATTAAAAACAACTGATGTTGACAGTCAAAGAAGTAACTGAACATTCAGTTATCAGAATCCATAAAGCAGTAGTTATTATAAGAGAATTGCACAGTAAAACAAAATTAGGTTTTAAAAATTCCTTTGTACAACGTCTAAGAAATATCATAAATTATGCTATACGCACATTTGCATGTAAAGGTCTTAACCTTTTTGTACGCGATAAACCAAGACGAAGGCCACTAGACGGCGTAACAGGAAAAAAAGCTTTATTTGAAGGTGGTGTAGTTACATTATTGACTAATGAGTTGGAATAAACAATGGTAGAAGGAGGGGATTTTGACAAAGCTTTGTGGCTAGAAATTGTTATAGGTTCTGAAGTTTCACAGTGGGAAGCCGAAAGATTAGAACTGGTCAGTTTTGCTTTGTTGATTATTATGTTAGATGGCTTTTCCTTTTGTGTTTGAATTGTTTCATATTGTTTCATGGGCGTATCTTTCGTTATCTTAGTCTTTGAAGGTTTACTTATCGACTTGACTTCTTTATCACCAGTCTTCTTGAATTTAACGGGTTCATCATCATCATCAAAGAACTCTGTATCACTGTCACCTAATAGAGCGTAATTGTGAACTTTTCGTATCCGTGAGGAGCGTTTTTCTGTCATTTAAATTTGATAATTGGTTTTCTGCTTGAGACCTGTATTAATAACAAGCAAAAATATTTTATTGATTATATATATATATAGGTTTAAGTGATATTTTCTGAACCATATTTACGAGAACAAATTATACCACTAAGCTGACAAAAAGTAAGTAGTGCATGAGGAATATTAAACTGTAACTGATACTGTTTCTCCTACATCCTGAGTTTTAGAATTCTTTTACATTTTTTTATTCCACAAATTTATCTTTCCTTGAATCGTACTGTCTGAAGCTTACCCTCTTTTACTGCCACTGATACTGTTACTACCTCTAACACTCTAGCATTCAATGTGAAGACATAATACGGCAACTTAAAAAATGATGCATATATATATATATATATATATATATATGAATAATTAGTGGAAATAAGATAACCATAAATTGTTTACATAAGCTTTAAAAATCCTGACACATGCCTATTTAACTATTTCTGATACATTTCAGTAGATTTTTAATGGTTTAATCAGTATGGTAAATGATGGACTTTAGTGGACTCTATACACGTGAAGCGGAGACTTAGTGATTAAGCCAATCGAAATTCAACTGCTGGATTCGAGATCAGACCTACCACATCCTTAGTTCGAGCACCCAGATAGCAACAATAACCACTAAATAAAATGCTATTTAAAGTTGAATACGTGACTCTATTTGGTTACTAAGTCCCAACGAAAAACTAAAACACTCTCAAATAAAATCACACCGAACAGTTGGGCATTCGTTATACATTATGACTCTAACAAAGGGACTGAATTGACGCTAGTCGATGGAAATCGGAAAGCAATGTACAAAAGCTTCTTGCGTTGTGATAATCAGCATAGATACTATTATTATTGAGTCACTGAACCTACTCAAATTGTTATGGCACATACAGTGTAAAACAAGCCTAGCGAACTGATATACTAGCAACTCCCTATATATATATATATATATATATATATATATATATATATATATATATATATATATATAGTGTTCCTTGGTTCCAAAATCTTATGGATAATTACTCGAGGAATTCAACCAAATATCTTCAAGGAGAACTACATGAACACACAATTTTAGCTTCATATGTGGGCCAAAGAAAATTTACTACTTAAATAACCACTCTCTGGAATTATCTTCAATATGTTACTGACGGTTGAATAGTTTTAAATCCGCCTATAGCCCTTCTAGGGTTACTGCCTGTCCCACGTCTGAATAAAAGAGGGTTGGGCATGTGGTCAGCAACCCCACCCGTAGAAAATAACCTTTCTAAAAACGCTGACCGGAGAAAAACAATTTAAGCTATGTGAGTTGAAAGATCTTCATTTAGAAGGATTATGACGCCTCATGATGAAAGCCGAAATTCCTTGAAAACCACGACACTGATAACTCTGATAACTAGAGCAACAATTAATATAGGTACATGAAATGTCCGGAAAATTTGGGCGACTGGGAGGACTAATCGAATAGCTGAGGTAATGAGGACATACAATTTGACAATTCTCGTAATAAGTTAAATCCAATGGATCGAAGGTGGACACCAAGGATTGCCTTCAGAAGAGATGCTGTTTTACTATGGTCGTGAAGAAGAAAATGCTTCGCACACACAGGGAGTTGCACTGATGTTGTCCAAAGAACGTCAACTTGTCAGGAGGTTCTGAGTCGCAAAAAGCATTATCATAAGTAATGTATCTCTATCCAAACACTGAGCAGGATTCAAGAAGGGAAGAATAAGATAGCAATTAACAACGGTTGAACGTGAGCAGTAAAGCCAAGACAACGCCAAATACACAAAAGTAAACAAAAAAGTGAAAAGGGACATTACAGCCGAAAGCCTAACAGCGACAGTAGAAAAAGTTTTAACAGAGAAAATATGAAAAACAACGAAACAACTAGCACGGAAATATTGTAAACTACAGTGAATAGTCAAGAACATACAAGGCAAGTCAATTACTGAGATTTAAGAACAGCGAACAGGTGCGCTGAACACTTTGAATGGGCCAGCCAAACTGAACCGACCAAACATCGAAGTAGCACACGTAGACCTTCCTATAGACGTCACTCCACGAACAGTCGAAGAAATCAGGATGACCATCAGACAAACCACGAGTGGGAAAACAGAGGGACCTGACAACATACCAGCTGAGGCAAGATATAGGGGTGATTGTAATGATGCTCCACGTTCCATACACAACAATTTGGGAGGAAGAACAACTTCCGACGAACTGGAATGAAGAACACATCATTAAGGTAGCAAAGAAAGGAGATTTGAGCAAATGTGAGAACCACAAGTGCATCACATTAGTATCAGTACCAGGAAGTTTTCAATAGTGTTGCTGAACCGGATGAAAGACGCAGTAGACGTCCGGCTGAGAAATCAACAGGTCGGATTCCGTAAGGACCAATAGTGCACAAAATGTCTATATAATTTGTAAAGTAATATATGCTATCCATTATTGTTTACTGAGCTTTCGAGAAAATTTTTTGCAGTATTACAGAGTGCTGTAAGCAATTATTAAGGTATATGAGGAATTCCTTGATGTAACTAAATGGTTGTAGATAGACATTTGGAATCTTGCAAACTACTGGCAAGTGTTATTTTATCAGATACTGACCATCAACACCATCCGAATCTTTCTCATTGTATATCTTCCGGTAGAACGAGAATCAGATACACTAGAATCTATGCATGCAAGGAGAAGTATAAACTGGATCTATTTTGAGATTTCGTGTTGCATTTTCGTGAAACCTTTAGTGGGGTCGTCTACAAACTTGCTCAAATTGACCAATTTGGTTTTACGGCTTGGAACTTGGGACGGATGGGATTTCCGAAAAATCAACAGATGCTGATGGTGGAAGTATACGACGGTTTGATTCATTTAAAATTTTCCAGATTATGTTGTCAGCAGATTCTGGATTTACAATTAGTTTTTCGTTGCCGAATGGAAGACGGTTGAAATATTGCATGAAAAAAACTAGATTATGCAAAGCTTTTCTTTAGTATTTCACAAGGCTTTATCTTGCTTAGCTACACCCTGAAGTATCACGATTCTTAAGCAACACAACAACCCCAAATATGCAAACGCGTTTCCGCACTCAAGTTAGCCCACAACTGCCTAGACGAAGGAAACATGTCTTAAGATTTTCCAGAAGATATCACTACGAAACACTTGCATTTCAGGTGATTATTTTAGAAAAAACAAATGTTACAACAGTTTCATATGATGTTACGTCTTGGTCACTTTTTCTGTTAGACTTTGGTCACTGCCGAGTTTTAAATAAGGTGCAGTAAAAAAATTCATAGAATTAGCCCAGGTCAGGGACTCTCTTATTCTTCAGATTTTGAGGAAAATTTACCCAATTTCGAGGGAAACCCATATAGAAAATTCTAGAGAAATGAGATCAAAAACCCTAAAACTTCCCATGGTCAAGAGAAAATTATAGTTCTATTTACTTTGATGAAAACCGAAATATTTATGGATTCGCCCAAAATAATCTGATTTGGTAGATAAGGAGAAACAATGATAATTCACTGCAGTCACTTTCATGAGAAAATCGAAACAGACAAAAGACTGAGTGGTGAATAAGACAGCCGTGACTTATGTGAACGGAATGAGGGAACATAGATGAAACAGACTGAATGAGTATTTCAGCTCGGGCTATTAGGCATAAAACCTGTGTGGCGGTTTGAGCCCAGCCTGGAGGCGTTTTGGATAATAGGGGAGCATGCAAAGTAGAGTATGACAGGAAAGCAGGAAGAGAACAAGATCCGTCGCTTGTTGCATCAGCCACAAAAAATGAACTTACTCTTAGTGGCAGCAGCAACAAACAACGATTAACAGCAAATCAAACATGAGTTCAGGACAATTTGACAACGGAAACTATATGTTAACTGAAGCAAGCTTAGAGTCAGTCACTCTGAGGAGTCCAAAACGCCGCCAGAAACAAGTATTACTGATACCCGCGCTACCTATTTAAACGTTAATACTACACGATACAATAAGTATTCGGATCAATAACACACAGTTTTTATGATGCATGGAAGTTTCATAGCATTTATAAAGGTCTATGTACTTGTTTATTTTGAAGGATAGAGGCATTTTTTGCTTGTTCAAATCAGTTTTTCTGTTAGGTGACAGTCTGAAATAGTCTTAATGACTTGGTTTTTAGATATTACTGTTCGATGATTACTTAAAAGCAATTCAATAGGGTCATTATACATGTTAAGTGTGGAGTTTTGCGTCCATTCGGTAGGTACTTTGTTTACTAATGAAGCATACGGAGTAGCGTGACTCTGGAGGGCTGTAAAAAAAGAAGAACAAAAGCAGTAGTGAGTCAACGATCCAGCGAGTTCACGCAATGCAATTACATTTGATGAATAAAGTAAGACAAGACCATCAGCAATGACACACGCCTCGGATTATGATAACCTTGTAATAAGAACTAAAATATTAGTCATGCATCTTTATGGACAAAACGATCATGCCTTCATATCATTCTGGCTCACCGAAGCTGGTTTGACAAATGAACACATATAATAGATAAAATTTCTCAGACCTAATTATGGCTCTATCAGAGTAGAACTCGAAAGCATATCGTGGCTGGGCAAACGAAGTTCTGTTTTTGTGGATGAATGGTGTGGTCCTCTAAGGATGACTTCTGGCCAGTCGATCGATGCCTCGGATTTACCGTGTCATACATGAAACCGTTCCGCCCCTTCTCTTGACCGAAGTCTAATTCTCACAAACTCATCAGAAACAAAGGCATAACCTGAGACTACTGGTTTTTCCCTAACGGCACAGATAACTAGTCAGATCACAGGATGTTGCGTAACGCGTGTAACCACAAATCTGAACGGAACAAAACATTTCGCCAGTCCTATCCAATAAAGCGACCGCATTTTACACATAACTTTGCGTGGAAATGCGTATTGATTCAAATTTCCTGGATTGGGATTCCTTAACGACACAAAGCTCTAATGATGCTCTCAATAAACTGCTGGCCGAAGAGTTTATATCCAACCAAACTTTATTACGCCTGTGTCGAGCGGTTCATGCATCATATCCTCATAACCTGACCCAAGCTTCGTGGGGTCAGAAACCCTCCAAATCAAAGAGGTGCTGAGGTGTCTGAACCTACATATATCTATAGTGGCATTGGGCCCTAACCACGCAACCCTCAAAGCTGAACACGAGACAACTGGGAAAACAGATATTCAACATTTAACACCGAGGAAAACCCAACGATGGAGAAGGCGGAAAGAATGAATTCAATTTATTTCGAGTTGGTCGAATGGCGTTACTCTGTTTGCAGGCGTGATCTTACTTATGTAAAGTCTTATTTATATTAAATATATTGTTCTATCTGAAGCCTTCATCATATATTGATGATTGTTACAATACAAATTGCTCATAGTAGATAATGATGTGACATCCACGTAGGATCTCATAGATTCGGTAATTACGTCATGACAATTCTAAAGTTTTAGGATTATTATTAATATCATAGTAGACCATAATTCTACACATCTACTGGCTCAGGTGCTGTCCGATTCAAAATTATACAGAGTCACCCAAACCGTCTTTGCTCACCTTTTTCTACTCTCGTCAAATGTTCCTCAGTCGAGGTTAAGTCACCTTCTGACTATAAAAGGAAGATGCTCTCCGCAGCAGCTAAGGTCATTTGGAAATGCTAACAAAGATTCTCTTCGTAATTACCTTCCTATCAGTTCCGTTTCTAAGATCAGAATGTGACTTTCTACCTTGTAGACCTTGCAAAGAAGACATCCTGACGACCTAGAATTTATGGATTATCAAACTGAAACATAACCATCCAGTGTATGTCGACCTTCTGTACTTCTCCAAGGCAGATGAAGTGATTGACCGGAGCGTTGTTTTGAGACCCAAACTCTCTGGGTATAACTGTGTGTTTGACTATGTGGCTTTTAGACTACCTAAACAGGGGATTAAAAGCTCCCAGAATTTGCACAACTCAGTCATTTGGTTTTCCACAACAACTACAGTGCCACCAAGATCAATCCTTAGACTACTTATTTTCTAATAACCTAGCTCTCTAAACTCTCAAACTCTCCACCTGAATGACCTCAAGATTTGGAGGGGAACAATTAGCTTAGATTATATCTTGAATATCTAAGACTATTTACTTTCTCCTCAGGACCAAAAAGTACGAAATGCTGGTAGTGAAGAGCAGTGATTTTGTAATGGTATTGGTTGTAACCACACGATACTCAAAGCTGAACATAAGGTAACCGAGAAAATTGACAAGCAAAATTTAACACTGGGAAAAGGTCAGTAATAGCGAATCCAGGTATAAATAAATTAAGATGGCAAGATTAAGACATAGAGGCATGGTCATACCTCTTGCTTTTTGCGTCTACTACTCTCTTCTCACCACAAATTTATTCTTCATAGGTGCTAGACATCATACTGCTGGTTGCCGCAATCGGATGAGTCAGTACAGACAACGATGCTAGTCACCCAATTTCTTGTGGATTGGATGATCACATCATGACAAGTCTGTAAATTTGAGATTAAGTCTATTATTACAATAACAAAAAATGTACTAATATCAAGCAAGATCATAATCTAATAGCACTACAGCCATCATCTACGTCATGTGAGATAACAGCACTATCGTTGTTTATGATGGTTTTAGTTAACCTATCTATAGTAAAATATTAATAGATCTAATACAATGTAGCTGACTCGCCCTAATGTGAATACTTAATATACACAACTTCACTTCGAAGTCAAGTAGTTATCCATCATCACTGCCCCTATCATGTCAGCCAGGAATGTTGATTAATGAGAACCTTTGGATAATGAATATAATCAGTTCAGCAGAAAAATATATTCAGTGTAGGGATGAAAAGGCTACTTGGAATGACAACATCTGCATCTCCAAGCTATGGAGTCTCCACAATGTCTCTGAATTCGCTTTTAGAGGGCTTCATTATTTTTAAATCAACTACAAATCATGTGAAAAATTCAACTTAATGGAAATAATTAAATGAGTATGTAAATATGTGTGAGAATCAATCATTGATATTTGGTGTTAATATGTTATATATGAAGGAATAAATAAATAAAAGTCCTAGTTCAAGGTTGAGAAATTGTTGATTAATCATCGATGTGCATGTTAAATTTAAGAATAAAACAAATACATAATTGTATTTTTAAAAACTCATTGAATTCAGTCAAAAATAACTATACACGTGAAATAAACAGGTTGACTAAAGAGAAGGTTCAAATTATCTGTCACACGAAAATATGCCAGGTAGTCGCTAGTTGAATACCATCCTTTCGGTTCAAACTGTTTTTTCGCCCATATATACAGGGCTTCTGCTTTCAATCTTTCTTTAAGAGTTTCAACCAGTTATTTACGGGACTCCCTACAAGAAGCTATAGTGAAAGTACCTCTTACTGAATCTTTCGAAGCAGGGCTCAGAGACTAATTTGGCTCCTTTAGCACTGTAAAGAACTAATTCGTTTTCCACCCCTCGATAACTATGATTAACCACATTGTTTTACTCTTGGCTTTCTAGTGTGAATATAACAAGAATCGTACCGCCCAGTTATCGAATATACACCAACTTCTAGCACTCAAACTCGAAGGAATAAACAATTCGCTCTTACTGTTCAGTAAAGACAATTCGCTTAAAACGAAACCTGCTTATGACCCTAGAAAATCTATAAAAATAGAAATGAGCTGAAATAGCTCTGTTAAAAGAGGAGATATCCATTTGTGTATCAGAATACCGTTCTCTGTACTGTATTCAAAAACCACACATAATCCTATACTTTCAGCTTCTTTATGAGCCACTACCAATTATACGTTTCTTTTTCAATTCATACCATATTTGCACTTGTTTTCATCAACCTATTATAAATAATAGCAGATAATAATTAATAAAAGATAAGTTGATCAAGTGGTCATACCTTCACAATTTCACCACAAATGACTAGAATTTAATAGGCATGAACATTGTCTGCCATACCCCCTTCTTTTTCTTACCGTCTTTTCCAGCCTCTCAAGATATACCACCGATAACGCATATGGAATGGTGACTTCGTCCTGCGCCATCAGTTGTGCCTCGCAGCGCAACCTCCATAAAGCGCGCCAACTGCCATATTGACAATACGGATCTTACTAACATTATTTACATTCATATGTGAGAAGCATTATCCCCCACACCTTTATGATCAATGTACATTATGAAATATCAAACAAACTGAGCGACCCACCACAGTGAAGCCTGTATCTTCTATAACGACTTGATGTTACCTGTAAACTGGCAAGCCTTTTTTAACAGCCTGTTATTTGAGAACAAATTATTATTATAAGCTTTTAGGTTTTACCTTGGAGTAGTTCTTTTAACAATATTGGGTTAAACTTTCGTAATAAATAAAATTAGTCACAAAAGACTACTTAATGACCTAAACACATACGACAAATAGTGAGTAAACAACTCCAATCGAAACTGAAATCCACGAACATAAGTACTGATTTACTTCTCAATAACATTAACCATAAAACGGTTGATGTTCAGTGACTGATATGCAACTACCTCAGACTTCATGAGTAATTTCAGTAGCACACATTGAATGACGTTACAGAACCTAAGCAGAACTTAGCTTGTAGCCTCCTTTAAAACTTTTGACAATCTAAACGGCGGACTTGTAGAAAGCCTTTTCAGTTACTTTCAGGCCGAAGCCTTCAGTTTTCTTTTTTCTAGGATTCTCGCAGAGCTGGATGGATCCATATATCAACCATCATTTATAATGATATCTGAAGCATGGACTAACAGTAATAAGAAGACGTCTGACTTTACAAATATGCCACCACCGAAAAACACTCCTGAATCTCCTTAAGTTAAAAACCCAGAAGAAAGTAATCCAGATTTAGGTGGTGTCCATCCTTTTAAAAGTGTTGACTTAGATTCAAC